TTAGTAAAAAGGTTCAAAACTCTGTTGAATTATGGATTATGTCATTAAGTAAGTCCACTTAAAATACCGTGAATTATATATGGTTAAAATTTGAGAAAATTTGATCAAGTATAGACAACAAAACGTAAAGCCTTAAAATTTGCATTTTGTCAACTTTATTAAGTGCTTTATATGATAAAATTACGGGGTGGTTGGATACTTTTTTAAACCCTTTTCACAAACTAATTTATGCTGACACCTTATTGTAAATATATGTAATCTGTTACGTTAAGCACGTTTTATTAAGGTAATAATATACATTACAACAAAAAAATTTGACCTTTTATTACATGTAAAAATTCAATTGGAAATTTGCTTTTTTGGATGATTTGCTAAATATTTCCATTAATACCATACTGAACTATTCGAAATTTTCTTAATATAGAGTTTTGATATCAAATATGAGTTTACTTAGTATGGCAGTAAAGGTTTTATTTAAGAAAACGCATTTTATTTAGTAAGTACTTTTTTCATTTGACGTTACACAGCGCAAGTGGTCGGATATTTATGATAGGTGAGTGTATATGATACTTTATTATTAATATTACATTTTATTTATTTTCTATATAATTTACACATAAGTTTGTTCCAAAAAATTTATCCACTATACCGAGATATCCGTAAAAAATCAAATTTTTGATTAAATCATGTGATAAATGTTGCGTTAAAAAATTAATTTTATTTTAATAATAATGATAATAAAAATACAGTTGGTAAGAAATTTAAAAAAAAACAATTTCATTCACTTAAATGTTGACATTATAATAATCTTTCATTCTTGTTTGCACTTACTTGTTCTTGAGAATTTTGTAAGAAATTTCACTTTTTAATCTTTTGACATTTCTAATTGCTTGAAAATCAATATCTAAAATTTTTTGCTCTACATATTTAAGTACAGTTTCTGGAACTTTTATAGCTTCCATATTAGTGATCATCGGCTCAGGTTCATTTGTTCCATTTGTTTCATCATCATCAACTTCATTATGTCCTTTTACAATATTTACTATTTTAGCATATAAAGAAATAAAAGGAAATGACATATTGATGGTGTCATTGCCAAGAAATAGCTAGCAATATGTTAGATTAAATTGTGGATGTATTGCCATTTATTTTACATTATTAATATTAATTGGCGTCATTAATTTTATTGGCAGTCATAGGACATTTCCTGCCGATCTATAGGAGGTTGTAAACAGTGTATAGTTGGCTCGGTCTAAAGACCTCCTAAATTTTGGGCAAATTTTAAAAGTATAGAAGTCATTTTCTGTCCTATCTTTTAAAAAAATAGCTCTATTAGTTGATAGAATATGTATTTAGTTTAGTGTAATAAAAAGATTTTATCAAAAAAATTATTTGTTGTATATAGAGTTCTATTCTTTTTTAAAACATGTACTTTACTATGCTCATGAAAAATTTGAGCGCTAGGATCATTTCTAAATTTAGACTAATGCTCAATCATCATATCTAAATTTGGCAGTAAGAAAATAATTTTTTAACCAAAATCACGTGAAACCCTTTTTAAAAAATTTTATTGCATTTTTGAAACACGAAGTCGCAATTTTTTGAAATTTGGATGCGTGGCACAGCAATGGGAAGTCTTTAGACCGAGCCAACCATAGCAAAAACCGGGTGATTGGCATATATAAATTTGTTACCAATTAAATTGGGAGAGTGCGTTTTAATTGGTGATAACAATTATTTTTGTATTTGTGTGGATCAAGAATGAATAGGTTATCAACGAATTGATTTTGGATTAGAGAATAATTTTGTTTAAAAAAGATGAAAGTTTTAAATAAAATAAAATATTTATTATTTTGTTTATTTAGTTTTTCTTAGTTGAAACTAATTAACTTGTAGAAAGTTATTCTTAGTCAAAACTAATTAACTCATTAGAAAATTATTTTAGGAATCTAATGTTTATTAATCAAATTGTTAGTAATAATTAATTTCCAATTAATTAATAATGGAATTTTTATTCACCTTTATTAACCAAGAAAGCCAAAATCTAATGAACTGTCATCAATTGTATAACTTTTAAAGCATTTTGATCTAGCAATCTCTTCATTTAATATTCTACTTGTATGGTATGCATCTGGATGTGATTTATGTATTTGTTGCAAATCATCACTATTAACAGCACCAGCACCACTGCTGCTACAATCATTATCATGAATCTCCCTATGTTTATCTTCGGCAAAGTCCCGAAGTTCTCTACTAGTTGGTCTTTTTGATGGATCCACATCCCAACACCTCTGCATCATTTGTGCATAATCTTCAGGCATTCCTGGTAATATTGATGGTCGTAAACCTTCTTCACATATATCAAAAATTAAACAATGATCATGAGCTCTATCATCAAATGGTGGATGACCTGCAAATATTTCCCACATTAACATCCCAATGCTATAGATATCATATTCTTTTGTGTTCTTTTTTCCCCTAAGTAGCTCAGATGCAACATATGATAAATATGTTGGTAAAACATGGAGCAAATTGGTTTATTTGACCAATTCTAGAGAAATGATACAATATTATGGGGTCTGCCATAAGTTCACATTACCATATATATATATTGTCAAAACTGAAAATTTCTACCTGTGTTAAAGCCTCTTGCTTGCCTGAAAGCCTTCCAACTTGTCCAATCCGCCTTCATCTGTGGAAAAGAAAAAAGCCTACAGCTATGAAGAGTCAATTGCATGTTTGATGGAGGAAACTTTATTAAATCTGATACCTGTGATCAATATCAGTCAGATTTATTATTAGTTTTAAGGAACTATACAATGAGAAGGGAAATAATTTTTTTTTTGATCCTTCCTATTTATTCATTTATTTTTGTGAACCCCAGAGATCTGGGTAGACACGCATTATTAAAAGTTTCATTTATGCATGGCCTTGGTGTTATTACTACTTGGGTGATGCAATTGTTTTTTATGTCAATTATAACATCAAATGTATTGAATAATAATCATGACCATCATGAATATTTGATGGATGGAGGCATTCAGATACAAGGAAATGATTAAGTAGCTAAGTCATGTTTGTTTTATTAAAGATATATATAATTATATTAAAAAGTAATTATTTTTATTCCACTCTTGCATAGTGTTCCATGTCGCAATCCAAAAAAGGAAACAAAATGGTTGTAAAGGCGGTTGCAACCAGTGGTTGCAATCATTTTTATATGACACAAAGGTGGTAGCAACCATCATCAAAAGTTGCAGCCAGTATCCTTACTCTTGCAATGAAAGGTATTATTCTGAAATCATTTGTTTATTTATCATTAATGATTGAATCAATCACACAAGTGGTAGTGTGAGATCAAAATCCGCATCTCACACAAATCTCTTGGATTTGATTAAAATATTATTTGTTTCGTTTTACTCCCAAAACTATCTTTTTGTAAACATTCAATGTTTAAAAGCGAAATAAGTAATTTAATTATTGTAAAATTACAAAGTTAATCTTTATTATCTT